CCACCTCCCAGGGGAATTTCTCCTGCAACAACTGACCCTTTTAGTAGTAGAAGCTGGAGAGTGGTTTCCAGAGGCCTCTCTCCATGGCAATATTTCAAAACGCTTTGTCTCTCTTTCTCCCCCAGGCAAATTTTATCCTTTTCATCAAAATTCTCAGAGTCCTCGCAACCAAACTCCGAGAAACAAACGCAGGGAGGTGCGACACAAGGCAACAGTACAGGTAAGTTCTTCGGGCTGTCCTACTCTGCAGGGAGGTTTCGGAGAAGGAGCATACCAACAACCTATCCATACTGGGATCCGTTAAGACAAGGATGGGGAACTTAAAAAGGTAAAGGTAAAGGGACCCCTGACCATTCATTAGGTCCAGTCGTGGCTGACTCTGGGGTTGCGGTGCTCATCTCGCTTTATTGGCCGAGGGAGCCAGCGTACAGCTTCCGGGTCATGTGGCTAAGCATGACTAAGCCGCTTCTGGCGAACCAGAGCAGTGCATGGAAACGCCGTTTACCTTCCCGCCAGAGCAGTACCTATTTATCTACTTGCACTTTGACGTGCTTTCGAACTGCTAGGTTGGCAGGAGCAGGGACCGAGCAATGGGAGCTCACCCCGTCGCGGGGGTTCGAACCGCCGACCTTCTGATCGGCAAGTTCTAGGCTCTGTGGTTTAACCCACAGCACCACCTTTACCCCCAAATACTGCTAGACTAAGACATTGGCCATTGGCCATGCTGACTGGGTCTGACTGCAGCTGGAGTCCAACAACCCCTGAAGACGCTCTGTTTCCCAGTCCATGCACTATGAGACAGTATAATGGTGGTGCCGGCAAAGCCTATGGCAGCGATTGGCTGAGCTCCCCTGAAGTCACAGAAGGCAGAGGTTCCATTGACTCAACTGCTGAATTCTTGAACCTTTCCCATTCATTTGCCTATTATTATTATTATTGTTGTTGTTGTTGTTGTTGTTGTTGTTGGAAACAAGTGGTACTGTGGGTTAAACCACAGAGCTTAGGACTGTGGGTCAGCAAGGTTTATCTTGCCTGGGCCGGATCGGTCCCGCAGAGATCCCTCTGTGGGCTGGATCGCGCATGTACCCGTGATTTTTGGCACTTTCGCAGACCCAGTTTAGCGGTTTAGCGCAGTGCATGGGTGGCTCAGTTCAGGGGCAGCTCATGGGCCAGTCAAATGACCTCCATGGGCCGCTTCTGGCCCGTGGGCCTTAGGTTGCTGACCCCTGCTCCAGATCAAGGGAACTAATAGTACCTAGGTAAAGGTAAAGGGACCCCTGACCGTTAGGTCCAGACAAGGCCGACTCTGGGGTTGCGGTGCTCATCTCGCTTTATTGGCCGAGGGAGCCGGCGTACAGCTTCCGGGTCATGTGGCCAGCATGACTAAGTCGCTTGTGGCGAACCAGAGCAGTGCACGGAAATGCCGTTTACCTTCCTGCTGGAGTGGTACCTATTTATCTACTTGCACTTTGACGTGCTTTCGAACTGCTAGGTTGGCAGGAGCAAGGACCGAGCAATGGGAACTCACCCCGTCGCGGGGATTCGAACCGCCGACCTTCTGATCGGCAAGTCCTAGGCTCTGTAGTTTAACCCACAGCGCCACCCATGTCCCTAGTACTGCTCTATTCTGCCTTGGTCAGACCACACCTGGAATACTGCGTCCAGTTCTGGGAGCCACAATTTTAAAAGGTTGTTGACAAGCTGGAACTTGTGCAGAGGAAGGTGACTGAGATGGTCAAGGGTCTGGAAACTAAGCCTGATGAGGAACGGTTGAAGGAGCTGGGTATGTTTAGCCTGGAAAAGAGGAGGCCGAGAGAAGATATGAGAGCAATCTTCAAATACCCCAAGGGTTGTCACATGGAAGATGGAGCAAGCTTGTTTTCTCCCCCTGCTCTGGAGCGTGGGACCCGAACCAATGGATTCACGTTGCAAGAACAGAGATTCCAACGAAACGTTAGGGAGAACGTTTCTGATGGTGATGTGGACCAGTGGAATGGACTCCTTTGGAAGTCAGTGTGAGAGCCAGTGTGGTGTAGTGGTTAAGAGTGGTAGTCTTGCAATCTGGTGAACCGGGTTCGCTTCCCCACTCCTCCACATGCGGCTGCTGGGTGACCTTGGGCTAGTCACGCTTCTCTGAGGTCTCTCAGCCTCACTCACCTCACAGAGTGTTTGTTGTGGGGGAGGAAGGGAAAGGTGAATGTTAGCCGCTTTGAGAGGCAAAGGTAAAGGTACCCCTGACCGTTAGGTCCAGTCGCGGACGACTCTGGGGTTGCGGCGCCCATCTCGCTCTATAGGCTGAGGGAGCCGGTGTTTGTCTGCAGACAGCTTCCGAGTCATGTGGCCAGCATGATTAAGCCAATTCTGGCGAAGCCAGAGCAGCGCACGGAAAAGCCGTTTGCCTTCCCGCCGTAGCGGTACCTGTTTATCTACTTGCACTTGATGTGCTTTCGAACTGCTAGGTGGGCAGGAGCTAGGACCAAACAACGAGAGCTCCCCCCATTGTGGGGATTCGAACCGCCGACCTTCTGATCGGCAAGCCAGTGTGGTGTAGTGGTTAAGAGCGGTAGACTCGTAATCTGGGGAACCGGGTTCACGTCTCCGCTCCTCTACATGCAGCTGCTGGGTGACCTTGGGCTACTCACACTTCTTTGAAGTCTCTCAGCCCCACTCACCTCACAGGGTGTTTGTTGTGGGGGAGGAAGGGAACTTTGAGACTCCTTCGGGTAGTGATAAAGCGGGATATCAAATCCAAACTCCTCTTCTTCTTCTTCTTCTTCTTCTTCTTCTTCTTCTTCTTCTTTGGAAGGTGGTGGACTTCACTGGATGTTTTTCAACACCAGTCGGTTGGCCATCTGCTAGGGATTCTTCAGCTGTGATTCCTGCACGGCAAGGGGTTAGACTAGATGAGCCTTGGGGGTCCCTTCCAACTCTACAATTCTATGAACTTCCCAGCTCTCTGCCACTTACCAGCCAAGCCGCCATGTTGGTTCTTAAAAGGGTCCTCCTGCAAGCAGATCTCTGCTCAGCCTTAACTGATCACAGCTACATCTGAGTAATACTGGCTAAGCTAGAGGTCCGCATTTGTCAGATTGGCCGAGTTTGTTTAGAAGAAAAAGAAGGGTGGGGAGGGAAGAGGGAACCTTGAGAACTTGGAAGGAAAATGTTTAATTTAAAGCAGGAGGAGGGCGTTTGCACCAGCTGCCATTGGCAATAAAAAAAAAAATGCCAAGCCTGGTTTTCCAGCCTCACCGAGGCCTATCATCTACCTATTGATTTATTACACGCTATTTGAGGCTTGTTACTCATTATGGTTTTGGAGGCTCTCGGCTGTTTTGTTTTGCTTTCAATGATGTTTTCCCCAACCTCCAGCCCCTATTCGCTGCAGAAGAGGCTGGGCCTCTGTGCAGCCGGTGCCCCTTCGTAATTGCCTCCATGCTGCGGCAACCATTGGCAGGGAATTTGCTGCCCCTCCCTCTCCCTCCTCCCTCCGTCAGCATCATTTCCAGTCAGTGTTCCTTCAGGGAGCACTGCTCCTGAATGGTACCAGATGTCCTCAGACGTTCTGAGGCGCTTTCTGCTACCTTTGCTCCCAGTACGTTTCCGAGCACAATTCAAAGTGTTGGTGCTGACCTTTCAAGCCCTAAACGGCCTCGGTCCAGTATACCTGAAGGAGCGTCTCCACCCCCATCGTTCTGCTCGGACACTGAGGTCCAGCGCCGAGGACTTTCTGGCGGTTCCCTCCCTGCAAGAAGCGAGGTTACAGGGAACCAGGCAGAGGGCCTTCTCGGTGGTGGCGCCCGCCCTGTGGAACGCCCTCCCGTCAAAAGTCAAGGAAATGAACAACTATCTGACTTTTAGAAGACATCTGAAGCATAGATTTGATCCAAGGTGGGAAGAGTGCACCCAATTATTCTCTCCGCAGTCTTTACAACCCTGGACAGTATTGTTTTTCCCCTGACCGTGCAGCTCCCAAACCACACACAAAGACCATAAGTTAATACACTCTCCACAGTACAATGGTAGAATGCCATCAACAGGTCCTTTGAGAGATTGTTTTTTTCCAGAGGATTCTCAGAAAATATAACCTCTGCTGTGCTCTCTTCATCAGGTCTTTGCTGTTTTCTCCTCACACCTGGATATCGGTATTTCATTCGTGGTTTGTGGTTTGGAAACGAATTCAGTTCCTCTTAACATTTTCCCTTTCCTCTCTGCTCTCTTCTGCAGGAAGCTACTGAAATCCACCCTGGTCCTCATGCCTCTTTTCGGAGTTCATTATATTGTTTTTATGGCTATGCCGTACACCGAAGTGTCAGGGATCATCTGGCAAATTCAAATGCACTATGAAATGCTCTTCAACTCTTTCCAGGTACGGGGTTCGCTGTCCACGAGGCAGCTGCCCTCTTCCAAACTCAGAGGATATCTGTGCGTAGGTGAAATAGCCGTGTGCTGAGTCAACATTAACTTGTCGTTTCTTCTTCTCTTTCCTAGGGGTTTTTTGTCGCCATTATCTATTGCTTTTGCAACGGGGAGGTAAGTTTCTCACAGACTGTGTTACATCTTCCAGAGCCCAACGTGGGTGTAGATTGTTTTCCTCCAAGCTTCCGGGAAGAAGCGCTGAGTGGGTTGAAAGTTTCAAATGCTCCCTAATATTTGTTTTTTAAAAATACTATCTCCTGATATTCAGAGAGGTAGATCCGAGGAGGCAAAAATGGGGGTGAAGTGGGGGGACAAACCTTTAAGAATCTGTCTCGTTGAGTTGCGGTATAAGAAGTTAAGCAATCTTGCGACTGCTGAAAGGATAACCTTCGAGATTGCTGGGATGAAAGGAAGAGCCAGCCGAACCATTTTGCAGGACTTTAAACACAAGATAAAAACGTTGACCAATGCAACTCCTTACCTGCACCTAAGAAAGAAATATAGCTCTCCTAAATGATGTGTTCGTTTGACATATCTGTGCAGAATTGCACTTACCATCATTGTACAAGCATCTTCTCTCTGATGCCTGGATAGCTCAGTTGGTTAGAGCGGGGCATTGGTAACGCCGAGGTTGCAGGTTTGATCCCCGTATGGGACAGCTACATATTTCTGCATGGCAGGGGGTGGTCTAAAGCAGCAGTTCTCAACCTGTGGGTCCCCAGATGTTGTTGGACTACAACTCCCATCATCCCTGAGCTCTGGCCTTGCTAGCTAGGAGTGATGGGAGTTGTAGTCCAACGACATCTGGGGACCCACAGGTTGAGAAAGGCTGGACTAAAGGATCATGAGGGTCCCTTCCAGCTCTCAATTCTATGGTGATGGTCTGCTTAGGTGAGATAGCCTTGGTCCACGTTCTGAATAGTCCCTGGTCCTGAATGGGGCAACTCTGCCCCTGAAGGACCAGGTGCGCAGCCTGGGAGTCATTCTGGACTCACAGCTGTCCATGGCAGCACAGGTCAATTCTGTATGCAGGGCAGCTGTTTACCAGCTCCATCTGGTATGCAGGCTGAGACCCTCCCTGCCTGCACACTGTCTTGCCAGAGTGGTGCATGCTATGGTTATCTCCTGCTTGGACTACTGCAATGCGCTCTACATGGGGCTACCTTTGAAGGTGACCCAGAAACTGCAATTAATCCAGAATGCGGCAGCCAGACTGGTGACTGGGAGCAGCCACCAAGACCATATAACACCGGTCCTGAAAGACCTACACTGGATCCCAGTACATTTCTGGGCACAATTCAAAGTGCTGGTACTGACCTTTAAAGCCCTAAACTGCCTCGGCCCAGTATACCTGAAGGAGCATCTCCAGCTCAGACATGGAGGTCCAGCTCCGAGGGCCTTCTGGCGGTTCCCTCCCTGCGAGAAGTGAGGTTACAGGGAACCAGGCACAGGGCCTTCTCGGTGGTGGCGCCCGCCCTGTGGAATGCCCTCCCATCAGATGTCAAGGAAACAAACAACTACCTGACTTTCTGAAGACATTTGAAGGCAGTCCTGTTTAGGGAAGTTTTTAAGTTTGGTGTTAAAAACTGGGGAAAGTGGATGGATAAACCCAGCCAAGGGTATAATTATTATTATTATTATTATTATTATTATTATTACTGTGTCCTTGTGTTGAATTTTTATTTTTAAGTAACAAGGCACCTTCTCTTTCTCCTCCTCGTCAGGTTCAAGCAGAGATCAAGAAGTCATGGAGCAGATGGACGTTAGCACTTGACTTTAAGCGGAAAGCTCGCAGCGGGAGCACCACCTACAGCTACGGGCCCATGGTGTCCCACACCAGCGTGACCAACGTCACCGCGAGAGGCGGGATCGCCCTGCAGCTCAACTCGAAACTCCTTCCAGGAGCCCTCAACGGACACCGGAACTTGCCGGGATACGTCAAAAATGGCTCCATTTCGGAGAACTCTATGCCTTCCACTGGACCGGAACAGTACAACAAAGACGAGGAGTATCTCAACGGGTCGGGACTCTACAATGGAGACCGGCCAACGGTCCTTGTGGAAGAGGAAAAGGAGACGGTGATGTAAAGGGGTGGGTGGGAGGAATGGTCAGACGTCCAAAGGATAAGTGACCCAGGAAGCACTGGGTGTTCATAGGAAAACCCGGCCAATCACTGAATGCCGAGATTCTTCAGACATTTCCCCCCCGGTTCTTCAGAACGAGGTATCGAGTTCTGCGGGGAAATGCAGGTCCGCGGTCCGATCACACCCACACACAAACACACACACACACACACTTTTGTTCCCTGGCTTGCTCTCTCGCTTTCTCACGGTGTTCATGAAGGCAAGGGCTCTCCAGACCCAGGAGAGCTCGTCATTCCCGGTTAAAATGAAGGAGATCCTCCGAGTTTACAAAGACAGGGCTCGTGAGCTTTATCTGCCACTGAAAGAGAAACGGAAGAAGATGTCGTGCATCACGTTTTGGCGCCAAGAAAGTGAAGGGTAGAGCATCATTGTCCGGTGGTGGTGCAAGTTTGCCCCAAGGCCTTCCTGAAAGTGACCGTTTCCCATGTTTATTGGAAAGAAACAGGGTTTGTCATGTGGTCGATCCATCCGAGAGGGGTTCAGCCTAATGAACCCTCATTTCTGGCTGTCACTAACTGGGGTCTGCTCCCTGGAAGGGATTTACATAGTTGTTCCTCCTTTGATTAAGGTCCAGCCCTCGAAAGACCTGGTTGCATGTTCCTACAGGAAGCAGGAAACCTTTCATCTGAACAACATGGGGTTTTTACTCCCAGTAATTCACTTTAATAACAGCCAAATGGAAGTCATGGAAGGTCCTTTGTCTGAGCGGAGCTGAAATTTTGAGTGAAAGGAGCCGGTGCAATTGGACGGAAGCAGCCGAGAGCTGGCAGCCCAGCTTTCACGGCAATCTCACCCATTCTGTTTTGTGGGTGGCAGGGGGGGAATCTGCGCTGCCGAATTGTATGTGCTTTTTTGTCAGTTTGGCTGTCAATTTCATTGCCGCCCGCCCAGCGCAAAAGAATCCTGGAAATTGTAGTCTGGTGGGCACCTCAATCATTCTTGTCCTCTCCCAGAATGATAATTTCCAGGATCCCTGGAAAATTGATAACCAATTTAAATCGGAAATGTAAAGGCGCCCTGAGAACCAGCGGGGTCAGGTGGAAGTGAGAAGGGTTTGATAGCAGTGAGGGGTGAGTTACCCTATGAAGAAGCTTCTTGACTGGCCCATTTTGCAGATTCAGGATGAGGGAGACGCCTTTGGCCTTCTGGATACTGCTAGACTACAACTCCCATCATCTGTACATACCACTGGCCATGCAGGGGCTGATGGGAGATGTAGTCCGACAGCTTCTGGAGGCCCACCCCTGTACTAGATTCTGGGAGCCGCATTTTGGACCGTTGCGTTTTCAAGAGATGCTGGAGCAAATATCTGTACTGCCCAGGTGTTCCATATTCTCCAAGGATGAAGGGAAGTTGGCTAAAAGTCATAGGAAGGGCAGAGGTGATGGTGCGAAGCAGAGGGGGTGGACCCAAAGTCAGGTTTGCCAGAGGTGCTGCTGGTCACCTCTGCCTACCCAAAAAGCCATTCTGAATATCCTACCTCTGCTGTCATAGCACCTAATGGGGACAAATCACAAGACCTTTTTGGACATGGTGATTCATGGTCGCCCAACAGCAGGGCCGGCCCAAGACAAGATGGCACCAAGGACAAGATAGCGCCCTCCAATTCCACTTGTAGAATCCAACGGGGCTGGCAGTGAACTCATACACAGCACCAACAATGGGACAGCGTATCTCTACCATATCTGGGGGTTCAGTAGGCCATCTTAGGGGGTCCTGAGCATGCTTCCCTGGGGGACTTAGGCGAATGGTGGCAGCTGCTTCCTTGCCCCCAGTATCCTGGCACAGGTCAGAAATTTGTCTATGGCCTTGGCCACTGGCAAAGCACCAACCTCAACTGGCTCACCCAGGTAACCACCACTTGAAAACTGGTTGTGCGAATTGTTTCTCGAGATCTTCAAATTCCAAAGATTAGGGAGCAACTCAACCGCATCCACATTTACGCAGGCGTTAATCCCACTGATTTCAATGGGGACATCATCTTAGGAACATGGCCCTGTTTTGGGTGGGAATGTCTGCCCTGCAGACGCCTCTTGATTTTATACCACTTTGATGGTCATGGGCTCCCCTAATGAATTCTGGGAGTTGTAGTTCAGCTTGGAGGCTGAGAATGCTCTGTTTGGGATGCTGGGGCCCTTTCTGAGAACTACAGTTCCCTGGTCAGAGGGAATAAATCCTAAATCAGATTCTGTATGTAGCACAGATATTATCTGTGGGCCACAGTCAGCTTCTTCTGTCTTCTCCTTTTGCAACCAAGCCAAACTCCGAAAGTAAAACAATCCCTTTGCTAAACTGTGACTGATGCATAACTTCCAAAAATTTCCAAACATGCTTAATAATAATCGAAATAATCTTGCATAAAACAATTAGGAAATCCAATATCTTAAAAAAGGCCCTATTAAAATGAGTTCCGTTGATATCCTTCCTTCACTCCCCATGGGAGCAAATTCTCCAGCACCTAAGAGCCTAGAGTCTTAGTTATTGTGGGAGAGAGTTAAGAAGACATTTAAAACTGGCTTACACACCTGAAGTGAATTTACCGTATTTTTCACTCTATAAGACGCACTTTTTCCCCTTCAAAAATTAAGAGGAAATGTGTGTGCGTCTTATGGAGCGAATGCAGGTTCCTTGGCTTCAGCGATAGCAACGCGAAGCCTCCGAAGCGCAGAGGGAGAGCTTCGCGTTGCTTTCGCTGAAGCCCCCGGAGCGCAGGGAACTCCCGCTGCGCTCCGGAGGCTTCAGGCAGCTATCCGCAAGCCTTCGGAGTGCAACAGGAGTTCCCGCTGCGCTCCAAAGGCTTGCGGATAGCTGCTTGAAGCCTGGAGAGCACGAGGGGTCAGTGCACACCAATCCCTCTTGCTCTCCAGGCTTCGCTTCGCTGGAGAGGCGCTGCACAGTTTTCCCTCTCTGCGCAGCGCCCCTTCAGCAAAGCGGGAGGAGAAATGGAAGGGGCTCCGTTTCTCCTGCCGCTTCGCTGAAGGGGCGCTGAGCAGAGAGGGGGAGAATTTTTTTTTCCCCTGTTCTCCCCCTCCTATGGTCCGGTGCGTCCTATAGAGCGAAAAATACGGTACCTTAATGAACCCAAGAGCAGATTTGGGGAATAAGGAGTGATGGAGCTGTCAAGTTGTCTGATTTCTCCTCTCTTCAGCCAGAAGACCCAAGAGGGTCAACGCACCAATTCTGCAATTTTAAAATATAGATATATTGATCCTGTCCCCAAAAGAGGCTGAATGCTTCAGCCGGTGTCAGTTATCCAGATTTGCACAGTTGAGCTTATTTTGCATAATTTATTCCCTGCGTTTCCTATTTTGCATAATTTATGATGGCACGGCTAGTCATGAGGAAGGGGAGGAGCTAAAATGGGTCTGAAGCCCCGCCCACACACATCACCAGAAAGCTTATTCCTTCTTCATTCTGGCTTCTGAGATTTTGCTCTGATTTGCCTGTGCATTCTCAGACGTTCAGGGCTAGAAACTTGCTCTCTTTTTAAGGAAAGGAAAGGAAACTGAAATCAACAGGTGGTATTACGGTCCTGTGATTAAATCCACACACACACACCACACTTCCACAAAAGCACAACACGCAACTGGAGGTCCTTTGGGGATTTTTTAAGCAGAGGTTCGGTGGCCACCTGTCAGGTATTCTTCCTCTGTGATTCCTGCATTGCGAGGGGTTGGACTAGATGACTCTTAGAGCCCCTTCCAACTTTTAAAGTCTATGATTCTAAGTAAGGTAAAGGTAAAGGGACCCCTGACCATTAGGCCCAGTTGCAGACGACTTTGGGGTTGCGGCGCTCATCTCGCTTTACTGGCCAAGGGAGTCTGCGTACAGCTTCCGGGTCATGTGGCCAGCATGACTAAGCCGCTTCTGCGAACCAGAGCAGCACACGGAAACGCCGTTTACCTTCCCGCCGGAGTGGTACCTATTTATCTACTTGCAATTTTGACGTGCTTTCGAACTGCTAGGTTGGCAGGAGCAGGGACCGAGCAACGGGAGCTCACCCCGTTGCGGGGATTTGAACCGCCGACCTTCTGATTGGCAAGTCCTAGGCTCTGTGTTTTAACCCACGGCGCCACCCGCGTCCGTATGATTCTAAGTAGCTGTGAGTTTATACAAAAGCAGCTGGTGATGGAGTTGGGTAGGATTCTATGTCATTGAAACCTAGGTCTGCATCTGTATTTCCCTCTCACTTGGGGGTCCTTGGCCGTTCTCCAACAAAATGCAGGGCCACAGCAACCCAAATTGGAAGATCTCTTTTCTTGAGAGTCCTGCCAGGAAGCTCCTTTTTCCAATCGGAGCTGGGGGCAAGGCATCTGAAAGCTTTCAGTGACACCCTAAAGCTTGCCTTCCATTGATGGTCAACTGTCAGGAATTCTGACAGTGGGAGCTGGGTCCCTTCCATCTCTGCAATTCTATGACTTTTCCATCTGTCTTTGGTTTCAACTGTGGAAGGGGTAGCTTAGATGCTAGCCTGACCACAAACATGTGCTACCTCTGAGCGTCACTTCTGATGTCCCCCAATATTGCTATTCAGTTTGTTGTTTTCCCTGTTAAATGGAGATGTACCCACAACTTATTCCTGTGGCAAAATGTAGAATGCTGGAGAGACTTGGAATTGGGGCCACTGGCAGACTAGGTGTGCTTTGCTGGTTGCAGGAAAATGGCGGTGTTCATGTCTGCAGATGCAAGCACAGGGTGGGTTTTCCATTGCTCCTGGTTGTAGGAAACCCTCTGCCATGTGCTTAAGAACATCAGAAAAGCTCTGATGGATCAGACCCTAGTCTACCATCCTGTTCTCCAAAGCAGGATCTGACCACAAGAGCCCTCTCCCCTTCTGTGGTTTCTAGCACCTGGTGTTCAGAAAGATTACTACTTCCAGGCTGGGATTAGACTTAGTTTTTAAGTTGCTCCTCAATCTCCCTACAAAGTTTCTAATGTCAACAAGGCAAGTTCAGATCAGGTCCAAACTCGATTCAACATGCATTTGAAATAGAATCAACCTTATCTTCTCTTCCCAAAACGATGGTGCAGACCGCAAGGCAACTGACCTTTGAAGTTTGCACGTCTCTGAATTTTGCAATCGAGTTCTACAATCGTCGCTACAGCAAACATGTGTATGATTTGGGGGAAGTGTGCTTGAAAAAGCCTGTTTTAGTGGGGGGAAACGGCATCCGAAAAGCATGATGTATGGGGAAATTGCCTTCAAAAACCTGAATCTGTTAGGGGAAGCAAACAGCGAAATGCTTTTGCGAGAACTTTCCTTCTTCAAACAAATGGGCAATTAACTGTGGAAAGGCAATTAACTGAGCTGAGGTCTGCAGAAGAAACGAAACAGAGAAACCACAATGGACAGATTCCACCCAGCCCTAGCGATGAGGGAGAGAGTGTTGGACATAATTGCAAAGTAGCAAGGAAGGGGGAGGCAGTTATATAATGAGAAACAAAAGCTGGAAAAGAGGGGAAGCGCCCAGGGGAAGCGCTTGCAATGTGTTTGACTTCACACAGCATACTGAAGGCTAGTCATAGAGGGTAGGGTTGTAACACACAATTTGGTTTTCAAGAAGAGGTCAGGAGTTCTCAAAATTCAGGAGGAGGGAAAGAACAACGGTGAAACAATGGTCCACACGGCCATTGCTAGCATCAAATTAAGGGGCATTGCACTGAAGTCAGTTCCTGTTGTGCAATTCAGTATACTTACTTTAGAAGCCCAAGCATTGTTGTTGTTGAGTCGTTTAGTCGTGTCCGACTCTTCATGACCCCCTGGACCAGAGCACGCCAGGCTCTCCTGTCTTCCACTGCCTCCTGCAGTTTGGTCAAACTCATGCTGGTAGCTTCGAGAACACTGTCCAACCATCTCGTCCTCTGTCGTCCCCTTCTCCTTGTGCCCTCCATCTTTCCCAACATCAGGGTCTTTTCCAGGGAGTCTTTTCTTCTCTTGAGGTGGCCAAAGTCTTGGAGCCTCAGCTTCAGGATCTGTCCTTCCAGTGAGCACTCAGGGCTGATTTCCTTAAGAATGGATTGGTTTGATCTTCTTGCGGTCCATGGGACTCTCAAGAGTCTCCTCCAGCACCATAATTCATAAGTCACTTCCTGTTGTGCAATTCAGTATACTAACTTTAGAAGCCCAAGCATAGAGGAGCAATAATTAGGTGCAAACGGCCCTGAAGCATCCCATAGCTTCTTCAGGAATGCATACCTGTAAGGAAGCATCATTACAAAGTCTGCATTGGTTGGTCAACATCTCCCAACATGTATTCTTCTTCTGCTGCTGCTGCTGCTATGGTCACACAATGGCTGTGGACCAGATCATCTAGCTCACAGTCTACATTTCTCCCAAGGGGGTTGCTAGCATCTACAGCAATCATGTGAACTAGCTTTCAGGTCAAGGGTGGCCCCCCAGGACCTAAGGACATAGGCAACTGCTTTACACTGAATCAGACTTATCTGGTTGACCTGGTTCAGTATACTCCAGAAGTAGCCAATGTGATGTTCTCAAGATGTTGCTGAACTGCAACTCCCATCATCCCTGAGAATCGGCCACTGGGGCTGGTGGGAGTCCAACAATATCCATAGAGAGAGAGACCCTTAAAAATCACTTTCAGAAACATCTGTCACCCAAACAAGCAGCAGACATGGTTCAGTTTCTTTTGAGTGCCAGTAAACAAAGCAAAACAAAACAGAGCTGTTACTGGCTATGAAAAAAAAAATCAGGAAAAGGGAATTAGATGAAATTGCTGTAAATTGTTATAGTTTGGAGGTTTAATGTGAAATCAAGCTTGTTGGTGTCTCTGGTATCTTCTATCTCTTACATCGTGGATGCTGGCATATATTACAGATGTATGCTCTGTATTCTTTTATTAATACCATTGCTTTCTCATGGCCTTTGGCCAGAACAATAAACTTACAAACTGAGCTGAGCATCCGTGTTGGCTGCTTCTGGTCTACAATGACCGGAAGTAGCTCTCCGGGGTTTCAGATGGGCTGTTCCAAACCGGGAAGTGTCAGCAGTTGAACCTGGGAACTTCTGGGTTAAAGGAAAATAGGGTTTGACTCTGGTCATGACCCATCTGTGTTGAAGCATGGCATGAGAATGGCCTCTGTGGTTCTTGTTGTTGTTGTTTAGTCGTTTAGTCGTGTCCGAACTTCATGACCCCATGGACCAGAGCATGCCAGGCACTCCTGTCTTCCACTGCCTCCCGCAGTTTGGTCAAACTTATGCTGGTAGCTTCGAGAACATTGTCCAACCATCTCGTCCTCTGTCGTCCCCTTCTCCTTGTGCCCTCCATCTTTCCCAGCATAAGGGTCTTTTCCAGGGAGTCTTCTCTTCTCATGAGGTGGCCAAAGTATTGGAGCCTCAGCTTCAGAATCTGTCCTTCCAGTGAGCACTCAGGGCTGATTTCCTTCAGAATGGAGAGGTTTGATCTTCTTGCAGTCCATGGGACTCTCAAGAGTCTCCTCCAGCACCAGAATTCAAAAGCATTGATTCTTCGGCAATCAGCCTTCTTTATGGTCCAGCTCTCACTTCCATACATCACTACTGGGAAAACCAGAGCTTTAACTATACGGACCTTTGTTGGCAAGGTGATGTCTCTACTTTTTAAGATGCTTTCTAGGTTTGTCATTGCTTTTCTCCCAGGTCTGTGGTTCTAGTAGCACCAAATTAATGATGGGTCCAGGCCACTTGTGAAAGAAAGCAGAAGAAGAGGATCAGGCCAATGGCCCATCTAGTCCAGCATCCTGTTGTCACAGAGGCCGACCAGATGCCTCTTTTGTGAAACCAGCAAGCAGGATTTGAACACATGAGCAACTCTCCCCTCTGGAAACTAGTATTCAGAACCATTGCTGTCTCCGACTGTGGAGCAGAGCAGAGCTATCCTGGCTAGTAGCCATTGACTACCCTTCCATGAATTTACGTAACCCTCTTTTAAAGTTCTCTAGGTTGGTCTCCTGTGGCAGGGAGTTCCACATGCACTGTGTGAGGAAGGACTTTATTTTATCTGCCCTTGCTCTTCTAACATTCGGAGATCCGTTTGCTCAGATTTTCCTCAATGGGAGCGAGTCTTCGTCTTTCTAGGTTTTCCACGTTTGTCACAGGAACAAGTTGACGGGTACAAGCAGCACTTAATCAGAAGTCTCCCTCGACATAAAGGAATTATCCCCCCCCTCTCCTCGCCACCCCAATCCTCCAAAAAAAGGAAAGGAAAAATGATTTCAATGTTTGTTTGTTTTTTTCACGACAGATGATTTATGATGAAGAACATGTGTCTGGAGATGATTGAGCAAAATGCACAAGAATTGTTTACAAACGAAAGACATCCATCCGCAAATAAATGAGAGAAAGAGACTGGCGTGTGGTCTGTTGATTCCGTAATGGGAAATTGCTGTCACTTGAGATTGAAATGCGGGCGGGAGGGAATGTGGACTGGCAGAGGGGAGGGGGAAAGGGACGAGGTTTTCGGTGAGTTTCCAGCAGTTCCGCGCTGGAATCTGCACACGGTTTCTTCAGATGGCACATTCTGCAAGAAGCGCTGAGCCGTGATCTGTTTCTTAAAACATAAAAACAGAGGGAGCTGCCTTTATACTGCATCCACCCGTTGCCAAAAAAACTCCAGGTGTATAGAAGAGTTTTCAGAGAAACCCAATCCCCATAGCTGTCAACTTTCAGATTTGAAAATAAGGGATCAGCAGCCTCACCTGTCCCGGGGACAGTCTAAGGGATATCTAACAATCCAGAATAGCAGTGGGAAACGGTACTGGAATAAGGGAATTTCCCACAAAAAAGGGGAAGGTTGACAGCTATGCCAATCCCCCCTCTCTCTCTAGGAACCTGAGGGAATGGTTCAACTCCGAAGAAGCTCCACAGATGATGATTATGATGATAAAATTTTATTTATATCCCGCCCTCCCCAGCCGAAGCCGGGCTCAGAGCGGCTAACAACAATAAAAGTAACACAGTTTACGTAAAATCACAATCAATTAATTGAAATACAGTGGTACCTCGGGTTACATACACTTCAGGTTACAGATGCTTCAGGTTACAGATTCTGCTAACCCAGAAATAGTACCTCGGGTTAAGAACTTTGCTTCAGGATGAGAACAGAAATCGTGCTCCGGCGGCGCAACAGCAGCGGGAGGCCCCATTAGCTAAAGTGGTGCTTCAGGTTAAGAACAGTTTCAGGTAAGAACGGACCTCCGGAATGAATTAAGTACTTAACCCGAGGTACCACTGTACATTCTAAAAACAAATCAAAATCAAATTAATGGCAACCATTGGGCTAGAGTTCTATGAGGATTACCAAAGGAGGGGGTCAGGCTGTGCCTTGGCCAAAGGCCTGGTGGAACAGCTCTGTCTTGCAGGCCCTGCGGAAAGATGTCAAGTCCCGCAGGGCCTCAGTCTCTTGGGACGGAGCGTTCCACCAGATCGGGGCCAGTACTGAAAAGACCCTGGCCCCAGTTGAGGCCAGCCTAACCTCCCTGTGGCCCGGGACCTCCAAGATGTTTTTCTTTGAAGACCGTAAGGTCCTCCGTGGGACATACCAGGAGAGGCGGTCCCATAGGTACAAGGGTCCTAGACCGTATAGGGCTTTAAAGGTTAAAACCAGCACCTTGAACCTGATCCTGTACTCCACTGGGAGCCAGTGCAGCTGGTATAGCACCGAGTGAATGTGATCCCGCAGCGAGGACCCCGTAAGGAGTCTCGCCGTGGCATTCTGCACCCACGGGAGTTTCTGGGTCAGTCTCAAGGGCAGCCCCACATAGAGTAAGTTACAATAATCAAGACTGGAGGTGACCGTCGCGTGGATCACAGTGGCTAGGTCAGAGCAAGAGAGGTAAGGAGCCAACTGCTTAGCTTGGCAGAGATGATGATGATGATGATTTATTTAACTTATACACCGCCCTATACCTGGAGGTCTCAGAGCGGTTCACAACAAGGCCACAACATGTAAAATCAAACCCAAAGCAGTAACCCAATAACACACACCTCCAAAAAAGCCACATTCTAAAAGGGTGTTGGGTGTCAATAAGATCAACCAAAGGCCTGGTTGAAAAGGAACATTTTTGCCTGGTTCCTAAAGGTGTATAATGAAGGCGCCAGGCGAATTTCCCTGGGGAGAGCATTCCACAGATGGGGAGCCACTGCAGAGAAGGCCCCGTTCTCGTGTTGCCACCCTCCTGACCTCTCAAGGAGGAGGCACATGAAGAAGGGCCTCAGAAGATGATCTCAGGGTCCGGGTAGGTTCATATGGAAAGAGGCGGTCTTTGAAGTATTGGGGCCGTGAGCTGTTTAAGGCTTTATAGGTCAAAACCAGCACTTTGAATTGGGCCCGGAAACTAATTGTGCAGTTGGACCAGAATCGGTGCAATATGCTCAAACCATCTTCCTCCGGTGAGCATCCTGGCTGCCGGATTCTGCACTAGCTGAAGTTTCCGAAATGTCTTCAGAGGTAGCCCTACGTATAACGCATTGCAGTAATCCAACCTTGAGGTTACCAGAGCATAGACAACAGTAGTTAGGCTATTTCTGTCCAGATAGGGGCGTAGCTGGGTCTCCAACTGAAGCTGATGCAAGGCATTACGGGCCACTTTTACTCTTTCCCCCTTGAAATATAAGAGCAGAAAGCACAATTCTATACATGTCATCCTGTACAGAGATAAGTCTCATATAATTCAATGGGGCTTCCTCCAGCCTTGCATTTAAGCACTAGCCTGGTCGCCTTGGAAGACCACAACCTGCATGCAGGCGAGCAAGTAGACTGGAAAAATGGGGACGAACTGCTGTTCCATCCCAGCTCTACAACCCAGCATAAAAACAGAGTGGGCTGCAAGGGGAGGCCTGCCCCCCCAAAAAAAACCCACAGCAGAAAATAAGTTCTCTGCCAGTCCTCATCAGGCTAGTAAAAATATCTGCAGGCTCATAACTTGTGTAAGCTTATTTACAAGACAGGCTTGCTTCCAAGTGAGCGGTTATGGGACTGCAGTCTTTTACACAGTTGGACTGACAAGATCCAGAGCATCGCCAACCTTCCAACCAGCTTGCTGGCATCAGTCTTTTTTTCAAGGCCGGCACTGCCGTTGGGCAAAAGGGGCATTTGTCCAGGGTGAACCCCACAGGGGGGGGGGGCTATCCGTAGGCGTGACAGTGATTGACTGTCATCGTGATCCTCCCAGTTCATCGTTGTCTATACTGACTGTCAAGGGGTCTCCAGGGTTTAAGAAACACGGGACTTTCTCAACCTTGCCTGTAGATGTCAGGGGTCCAATTGCGATTTTCTGCATGCAGAGTATCTGCTACATCACAACACTTAAGACCCCCCAGGGGCACTGGGGGCAAATTGATGGAACCAAGGGGGCATTGGCCCAACAGGTTTGGGGGGGGCGCAGCTATGGATGGAGAGAAGCTCTTGCATTTGACTGGAAGAAGGAGAACGTTTTCCTACCCAGGATAAAGACGGGTTGCATGCTGAGAAATCGCCTCTCCCCAGAACTTGTTGTCTTCACAAGCCTGCTTCTATTTAAAATAAAAATAAAAAACCCTGTGGTATCTGGCCGGCATCTTGCTGGCCACTGGCAGATGGCAGGCCATCTCTGGGCAAGCAGCGCCATGGGCACGATCCAAAATGGCAAGTCCTCTCTTCCCACAATAGATTTCGTGCCAACCTGTGGCCACAAGCACATAGGACCCCCTTTGCGCAAAGCCAAGCCAGTTTTTGGTGGGCATGGCGAGGTGGGGGGAGGCTGAGTTTATACTACTCACCACCACCACCCCCATGGTTAAACAAACTCAGCTCGGTGACAGGGCCTGTTCCTTAAATGCTCCCTTTCTCCTCCATCTCCGTCATTTGGTCAAAGGTAACAGCTATGGATACATTTGAGGCTTTGTGCAGGAAAGATGGATTCAGGTCATGCATCCTAAGTAGCAGGGGGAGGGTTGGGTGGATGAAGAGGATGCACAGATCCTTCTGCACAGATCTTGACTCTGGGACAGTTTTATTGAAGCCACGAAAGAAAGGAAAAGCTCCAGGCATTCAAAACTGGTCTACACTCTGCATATTTGAACGGAGTACAGTCCGTGGAGCAGGCTGTCAGAAATTTGGTCAATATCTTAGTCTCCTCTCAGCCAGCCTACACCTGCCTGCCTCCTTATTCTCAGCTTCCTCATCCTTAAGACTGGTCCTGAAGGACCAGGTGCGCAGCCTGGGAGTGGTTTTGGACTCACAGCTGTCCATGGAGGCGCAGGTCAGTTCTGTGTCCAGGGCAGCTGTTTACCAGCTCCATCTGGTACGCAGGCTGAGACCCTACCTGCCTGCACATTGTCTCGCCAGAATGGTGCATGCTCTAGTTATCTCCCACTTGGACTACTGCCATGCGCTCTACGTGGGGCTACCTTTGAAGATGACTCAGAAACTGCAATTAATCCAGAATGCGGCAGCTAGACTGGGAGCGGCCGCTGGGACCATATAACACTGGTCCTGAGAGATCTGCATTGGCTCCCAATACGTTTCCGAGCACAATTCAAAGGCTTGGTGCTGACCTTTAAAGCCCCAAATGGCCCAGTATACCTGAAGGAGCGTCTCCACCCCCATCATTTGGCCCAGACACTGAGGTCCAGCTCCGAGGGCCTTCTGGCGGTTCCCTCCCTGCGAGAAGTGAAATTACAGGGAACCATACAGAGGGCCTTCTCGGTAGTGGCACCCGCCCTGTGGAACGCCCTCCCACCAGATCAGCGGTTCCCCCAGTTGACGTGCTAGGCCTCCCCAGTCCCCCCTCACCAGTGAGGGTGGCAACAGCAGTCTCAGCAGCCTGGAGCCAACCTGGTAGCGCAGTTGGCTCTGGCTGGCATCAGGATCTGCTCGCTGCCGTGGTGCCCGCCATTTTGCCTTACCGGAAGTCCCCATATGATGTGTCTTGTGCCGTTGAACCAATCACACAACATTCATTCCCTACTAATAAATCTACAACACTTAAAATATAAATCCGGGGACATTAAATGAAATCCAGGGACATTCCAGGGACGGATTTTGTCCGGCGACAGATTTGTAAATCCGGGGACTGTCCCCAGGAAACGGGGATGTCTGATAACCATAAACAAAGGCCCGGGGGCTGGATCCGGCCCAATCACCTTCTAAATCCAGCCCGCGGACGGTCCGGAAATCAGCATGTTTTTATATGAGTAGAATGTGTGCTTTTATTTAAAATGCATCTCTGGGTTATTTGTGGGGCATAGGAATTCATTCGTTTCCCCCCAAAAAATATAGCCCGTCCCCCACAAGGTCTGAGGGACAGTGGACCGGCCCACTGCTGAAAAAGTTTGCTGACCCCTGGCTTAAATGAAGGCATTCACAC